TTTCGCCAATGAATTTGACAAAAATAATAGAAATTGTATTGTATAAGTATAATTATTTATGAAAATCGACAGCCATATTTTCTTTAAACGTCAAATTTGCATGAAAGCTTATTTCCATACAATTTGCCCCACACACGTTGCGGTGTCGTCTTTCTGCGAAAAGCTCGTATGAAATTGCAATTTCATTACCAACATGCTCGTTTCTCTGTCGAAGAATTTCACAAACTGATTTAATACGTACTTTTAATATTATGTTAACGGGTTTTAATTAAATTTATTGCTTTAAAATTATATTTATATGTCGATGGCTCATTCCATCCCTTATTCGAATATCAAAAACGATATTTTAAATGTGTAGTGTGTTTAAAAATATGAGGTTATTTTATTAATTTAAATAACCTTGAAACAAGTCTATATGATTTTATATTATTAGTGTTTTGACTCTTTACGTTTCCTATAATTTTCTTCCTTATTTTTACGATTTTGTAAAAGAATTTAACTCGAACTTCGAGTTATACCAAGTTGTTATCAAAAAATCCAAAAACACGATATTATCCGTTTATGTTCGTGTTTGTCTCTTTCAAATTTTATAGGGATGTGTTTATGTACGTTTACAATAACGTGGGGACAATGGCCGGGGTTTGCGGTGGACCACCGGCAGAGACATCGCTTTCCTCCCTTTTAGATTTTTTTAACCGAAACATTTACGTTTACGGTAATGACATAAATTTAGGGGCGGTTTTATGGCTGTTAAAGGTTAACACCAAAAGCAAATCACTTGTAGATGTCAGCAGTTTGTAAAAAATGAACTTTGTATATTATTTTACATACTGAAATAGGAAATGTACCACGAAACTATACAAAATATTTTCTTTCTTAGAAATTCATCTTAGTATAAAAATACTAGCTGTCTCCCGCGACTCCGTCCGTGCAAAATTAAAAAAAATTAATAAGTATACTTCCAGACTATGCTCTACATCTATGCCAAATTTCAACGAGATCCGTTCAGCCGTTCCGGAGATACCTTCAAACAAACATCTAGCCATCCATCTAAACTTTCTCATTTATAATATTAGTAACAAGTAAGATTGCTCTAAAATTATTTTTAAGTATTAAAACTTTCTACCAGGAGAGAAATAATGACAAATATACCACAGAGTATTAAATGTCGCCCCACAAACCGCATCCCTCTGTAGCCACTTCTAGTGTTTCTTTTTATCGTGTCTTTTTGAGTTTTTGAGCTATTGAATTTTTTCATATAGAATTTCTATATGAAAATCTAGGAGGGTAAATGACAAATGTCAAAATACATCTTTGACTGTCTACCTATCTTTGCACAATTGTCATTAGAGTAGTGTAACTCTGTATTACATAAACTTAAGAAGTAATATTTGTGCAATGTACCGTACACTGTTTCCACTGTACAATGGCTTGTGGAAACACGTACATTTTGAACGTGTTGGAATCTCATTCACTGCTACCGCTCACGACCCGCACGCTCGGTGCCGCTTTGATCTTTATAATTCATTTAATGGAATCTTCAATACACTACTGATTGTTAATACCCATTTTACTATCGAATTGGATAATCTTTCTTTTACAAACGTAAGTAATAATAATTTAGTTATCTACCAAATAGAATTGACTGATATTTTTTTAAATGTATTTTGTTTTGTTCAATTGTTAAAGAATATACTGTTTTTGTATAATAAATAGATTAAGTTGGCAGTGTAGATACTATTTATGTCATTCGGAAGAACGGAACTTCCAATCACAAGCCTTTAAAGGATGCTTAAATGGAAGTCCCGGTACAAGTATCATTATGTACCATTTCTGTTGTAAAATTAAATCGTTTTCAACAAGCAATAAGAGAGATTTCTACATAGAACTTGATGAAAACTATTACAGTTATTTTTCTAGTTTACTACCTACCAAGTTTAGGAGAATTTAGACTAATTTTAAGATTCAAAATCCCTGTTACAATGCCAATTAGCTAATTTATATAAGGATTAGATTCTTCGCAAGGGCTTTTAACGATAAGCAGTTCGTAAAATAAATTACATTGCTACTAAACCTGCCGAATCTTTATGTGCCAATAAAACAAGTCGGGACAAAATGGACGGAATGCATTTTTATTGTTAACCTTATCTAAATGGTAGTGCAATGTTGTGCGATATCTTTGAAGTATGGAGAGTGATAAATTTGTGTGAATTTATTGGTTTAAGGCGCGGTCGACGATGCGGTGTGGGAGCGTCAGTCTATCGTCCGTTGGTTGTTTGGGTTTCGTCGCTTAATGGAAGGATCCGGTTACCTTTCGCAAAGACATTATGTTAAATTGTTGTTCGGAAATTTTTGTTTTTATTAGAATTATTTCATCATTTTCAATTATTTACACGAGCGAAATTATTATAAAAATGTCATTAAAAATGTTAGGTTACATTCTTATCCTTGACTATTAATTTTTTTTGACATAATTTTTTTTATGGTTTTTTGATGAATAATTTATTGGTGGGTTGGTTGCAATTTTGTAGACTGAATCAGCAATTATATATTTATTATAGTGGGCTAATCTTCTTATAATAAAATATAATAGAATTTCTTGTCAGAATTGACCCTCACTTGCGCCATTACACTACAAACTGTTTCTCAGGCAAGTTAAAATTATCGATGTATTAATAGCATAAATATACCTTTTGTGCTTTGTATACGCAGTATTATTTAGTAAGCGATCTATCAGGTAACAATAGTAATTTGTTTCAGTCAGGGCCTTCATACGCTGTCGTAAACAAGCGCGTAGGCGCACTCAGTACCCCAATGGGGGCAAGATCGATATATTGATGTGGGCGCGACACCGTTGCACTTTAACGAACCCTTTGTATCGTAAATTGCCCATGAGGGCCTGACCGATTGCCTTTTGCATTTATAAAAATTAAGCTCACTCCCACGCATCGCTTCATGAAGATTAAGAGATATCTATCGAGATTGCCTGATTAATGCTTGGGAATATTATGAGATATCAATTAAAGGTATCTGTTTATGACGGCATAGTTATTTAAACTAATGTAATTGACCTAAATGTAACGAAGTATTGAAAATTTGTTAAATTTAGTTATTGAAAAGCAATAAATATTATGAAATATTTATGAACTTTGTTGGTGATCTGGTTTAAATAGTTTATCTTACTGAACTATACAATAAGCATACTTTAAGCGCCTTCTACGAAAATCTCTTGCGCAACGCTTAGATAAAAAACTGTCGCAACATCAAGCAAAAACAATGAGCTCCTAATTATAACTGCGTTCGTGCTTTCTTTATTGTTATTGTTAAAGGTCACCGACCTTTATGTGTGGGCGCCTAATAAATAGTAGAATAGAATATACTTAACGGTGTAACTTTTGTAATTTAAAAAGTAACAGCCCTAATAATCGTATTACTCTAACAACAGAGACGAACGACTAGTTTTGTGATAATTTTATAGATATTGGTACAGATCCTACCAGTTTTATTTTTGAGCAAGTCCTAGCAGATCGAAAACCACAATATTTCCCACCTAGTTACAATTACCGCAAACATTACTATGATCCAGAAAAATCGATCATTTTTAACAGTATAATAATTTGTAAGGAACGATAACGTGCCTGCAGCGAGAAATCTACCCTAATTAGAATAGTCTTACTAATATTATAAGTGCGAATGCTTGGATGGATGTTTGTTGGAAGGTATCTCCAAAACGGCTACATGGATCCGGGGTTAAAATTTGGCATAGATGTAAAACATAGCCTGAAAGATCACATAGGGTATCAAAAGTATTTTTTTTAATTCTGAGCGGACGGTGTCGCAGGCGACAGCTAGTATAGAAATAAATCCATCCAATATTTATAAAATATTTTACTGTATGTTTTTATTGAAACGACTAATTGCCTTTTCAATTTAAGTCATTAAACGACCCCACATATAAATTAAATTGGCTGTATACTTGCTGGAAATACCCACATGGTAGCAAAGCCGCGGAATTCCGGGATACATTAACATAAAACGTGTTTTCATTTAATTAATTTCACTACCCTCATAAACATGATAATAATTAATTGATACAAATTAGGTAATGGTGTTCATTTTCGACTTCAAATGATGAATGTAAAAGTGTAAATGTTGGTTGTGGTGCTAAAGAATTTTGTGATGTGAATTACGTCAAAATTATTTACGTTGGCCGTCATCAACATCCCTGGCTTTATCCCAATCATATGGGGTCGGCACACAAGGTTTTATAAACATAAATATTAATTCTGGATTTTAGTTTTTTATCATTAAATAACTATTTAATTATTAAAATTAATGATTATTTAATTTATTGAATTCAAATAATTTTATTATACAATTATTTTATTTTATTTAATAATTTTAATTATTAATAATTATTTAATTAATTGAATTCAATTGGTAACAAATATTCTTTCATATCTCTATGTATGTAGGTACTAATAAAAATAAAGTATATATAAAGCATTACATTAAATACATATTCCGTATGATGATATACTTTAATATATGATAATAGGGTTCGCGTCCGTCATACAAATTTGGTGAATGAGGCTAGATTAGTTTGGTGGAGCCAACAGTATGATTAGAGGCCGACATTACGATGTAATGAAGCGACCGGCACAACGATATCCGCCTCATTACATCTCATTGTGGAACTTGTCTGTTTGTCATGCTTTATTATACTAGTAATTTCCTTCAAGTTCGTCTGCTTGACACATTATATTAACTCAAATAGAATTGTGTATGTAGTTAAAGTAATATTGCGGGAAAAAATAGAGCCCAATATAACGGAAATTCAAACGTTACATGATGTATTAGGTTCCGTACATACAGACCGCAGCGGAGAGCAGAGCTGATTTTTTATCCGGCCTGTGTAAACGGACCCTTATATGTTCAGTCAGAGGAATACTTTTTTTTAAAGTGAATGTAGCTGTAGTAATATAAACCTCTTGTTTTAGGTTACTAGTCGGGGCACCATTGGGTCAAAACCTTCAACCGAACACGACAAGGTCGGGGGCGCTATGGAGGTGTCGACTGACCCCTGCCTTAGGAGACTGCGAACAAATCATAACGGACGGAAAGAGTGAGTTACACTGTATTAGTATTAAGGTCACTAGACATAAAGGGTCGGTAAAATTATAAGTTACATGATCATATGTATATCATTAATCAAATGCTCATTAGGTTATGTGTCATCTCATTTGACCTCTACTGATAACCATATCAGAAGCATTGTTCTGCGTCTGTTTATAAATGTAAATATTTATTCTGTGCATATAATATTCTTAGAACTATTTCGAGATATATTTAAAGATTATCGTAGTTATCAAAATGTATCTATTTACATATGTAGTAAGTAGTTAAAGTAGAATGTAGTTCACTGAAATATTCTATAGATAGGCTGGAACACATTTTAGTTTCAAATGTGTGGACACACAAAATCACGTTGTTACTAAATATAGGCACATGAATAGAATTAGCGTTTACACTGTTAGGTGCAAGAAGCTGGAACATAATTTGATACTTCGTATATTATAAAGTAGTTTTAATATTTAATTAAAATGTTGTCTTTTGTCGGTGGTGCCCCAAACAGCGAAGTACGGCAAGATAGACAAGAGTAAGTGAGCTGTGGTCTCAATCCCTTTTGTATTTAATCATTATGCTCCCGACTAATAATAACTAATTGCTGTTTTTTTTATTTTTTAATATTTATTTTTTGATCTTACTAATAGCCCCCCATTATGCAAGTTCCAGCAGATCATCAAATTACAACGCATGCGTTAACTAACTTTGAAACGTAGAAATATCACATCGTAAGCATTAAAGATTTACTTCCATTGAAATAGAGTAGTGAATCATCTAAAAATAGCATGAATTAACATTTCAAGGATACTCTATTTGTAGCTGCTCTGTCGGAAATGAATCTTGAATGCAATTGTATGAATCAACACTAACAGCTTGCAAAAACACCCACTCACAGGCTTTAGCTGAGCACTTGAAGCAATAAATATTATTATAATATCTAAAATATAAGGAATTTGTTACGCGATTCTACAAGCAATCAAATTACATTGCTTGCAGCAAATACGTATACATAGATTTGTAGATAGCGCCGTTGTTTTCAAAGTTTTCCAAACAAATATTCGTAGATTTAGTAAATTAAATATAGACATTAAATAGAAATAGAAAACCGCGCAGAATTGCTTTTAAATTAATTTTTTTAATGTAGATAAAATTTAACACAAATAAAAAATCATTCGTGGTGACTGGCAACTTTAACGAATAACGATTTAACAAACACGACATAAAAATAAAAAACAAAAAACTAAAATTTGCACTTTTGATAAAAAGTATTTATGTCAATCGAAACAACCAAATTATATCTGGTTTCGATGAATAATCTCGTCTAACAAGTAGCCAATCAAAAGTTAACGTAACGCTGGGCCGAATAACATAATCAGTAACAGTTAGTCATACTTACAGTAAATTAAAATAGTGAAATTAATTTGGTGTTTACTTGGTGAATTAACGTATCGGCCATTGATTAATTTTTATCAGTATCAGCTCTAAATTAACAACTAGTAGTCTTCGATAACGTTATATTAACATGAGACCACACTTAAGTGATTGTACACTGTTCTTAATGTTCGTTTTCAGGATGCGGTAATCTGTCACCACCTTTTTGATTTAGTTTGTCACAGTAATATATAGGTTATTTTTTTAATCAAATATGTTTATGCATGTATCATTACTATGATAGTAGTTTTACATTCGCACGGTGTTTGCGTAATGTGAAAATGGATTTTTGATCACTTTGCAAGAATTTATTAATTACGCTATGCCGAAAATCATTTTTTTTTATCTTGCATCATCCACGCCTACTGCAGTGCTTTGCATTTGCCGAAGTACCACATCGGTATGATTGGGAATGAATTTATAAAAGCAACTAATTTATGGGTACAATCGGTATTCATATCATATTTTTAATTGCTTATTATTTTGAAAATTACGAATCTAATTCGACTTTATACATCGAAATTATTTGGGTTTATTTTTGTGATTAAAATTATTTATTTGTTAAAATTTATTTTGTGTCTAATTTCAAGCTTTGAAAGCTTTTTAATTTTGTTTTTTTATTAAATTATTGGAAAAAATTGTATTGATATGCAGCTCTTATATTGCGGAGTTAACCAAAATTTAAGTTGCTTGAATGTCTGGTGGTATATTTATTATGTTAAGAACATATTTTAATCGATGTGTACAATGTTTAGCGTTGGATTCTTATACTCTGACTGCGCCGTATGAAGATGAGATCAAGGATGGACAGTGGCTGGGAGTCTCCGTCAGGAGCCAGGGACCCGGCAGAAAGGCGGTTGTATGTGCACACAGGTAAACTCAAATTACAAAGAACGAAGTTCAGAATCGATTTCGATTCGAATCGAAAACGGTTTGTTTATTCATTTAAATGTAGTGAATGTAAACAGTATGACTCAACTACTGGCGCCAATATATACTAGAATGCTCTTGAAGTAACAGAATGTCCGCGTTCATATGGAAATTACCAATTCAAAATTACGCAAGGAAGAAATATTTAATATTATAAAAAATGACGATATTAAAAAAATAAGTTTCATGCAGTCCTAGTAGTTATGGGTTTCATTTGCAGCAAGAATTGTTAATTCTTCGTAATGTAATCGTTTACTAGAAATAAAACATCCTATTTTTTCTTATACTAAAAAGTTACACTAAACAATTTAACTACAGAAATGAAATGTTATATTTTTGTTTGCCTTTTTAGATACATCCGCAAGTCCGGGGAGTCGCAGTTTGGCCAAGGCCTATGCTACACTTTGAGCAACGATCTTCAACTCTTAGATTCTTGGGAGCCGTGCCGAGGTCGATCAGTGATTAAGTAAATATTTTTACCACAGCATAACATACGATCGAAAAAACATAAAAACTATATTGCTTGCAAATTGCCCAATTAAAAAATTGTTCATTTAACTTTAGTACCTTTATTGTTTTTTTTTATTTAGGGAGCATGAAGAATTCGGATTCTGCCAAGTAGGAACTAGCAGTTCTCTACTGGAAGACGATACTCTACTGATTGGTAGTCCAGGGCCCTACACGTGGAGAGGGACAATCTTCACGCACGATACAAATGACGACCTCCTGGAGAGAGACATGTCTTTCTATATGGCACCAGTTGAAGACGGCTTGAGTCCTGTAGAAAAGTATAGTTACCTTGGTAAGATAACGTTCAAAGAGAAAAAAAGATCAACTTTTTGAAATATATATTTATAATCATAAGTAAATTTTCTCTACATACTTATACCTAAGCACAAAAATCATTTTTTAATGGAATGATGTGCAAATTTCGGTCTTTGAATTTAAAGATTGAACATATCATTGTTAATACATTAAGTATAAATTAGAAAAAACAATAACAATTTAATCTAACACCTTTGTAATCACAAAAAGATACATTTTAAAAACTAAATATTATTACTATCTAATTCCAGGTATGTCAGTGACAGGCGCAGGTTTCTTCAACTCGGTGCCATCATACGCGGCAGGGGCGCCCCGAGCACGCGGTACAGGACAAGTGGTCATCTTTAGCAAACGAGTCATCAAAGACTGGGGTCGCACCGACATCGATATACTGGAGTATAACTTGACACTGAACGGAGAACAGTTCGGATCGAGTTTCGGTTACGAAGTCGCCTCTGCTGATGTCAATGGAGATGGGTAGGTTTTTACAACAGAAATATTAGGTTACATAACAAATAAAAGATGTAATTAAGTACAAGAATACTGGAGTCTTCAGAACATTGTCTCACTGAGGAAATTATTAATAAACATTCCGTTCAGTTGAAGTAAAATATGAGGCCGTAGTATTGTCAAATACTTGACCTGATTCTTTACATATTGCTCGTCTGCATTTTAGATAACTTTATGCAATATAAGCAATATTTAAGCGCTTTTTCAATTGACGCATTAAATGTATTATAAAACTAGCTGTCACCCGCGACTCCGTCCGCGCGGAGACTATGTTCTATATGTATGCCAAAATTCATTAAGATCCGTTCAGCTATTCTGGAAATACCTTCAAAAACATACATCCATCCATCCATCTAAACAATAGTATTATTAACACTGAAAAAAATATTTTCCAGGTTACCAGATCTTTTAGTTGGAGCACCGTTTTATTTTTCAAGAGACTCCGGTGGTGCAGTGTACCTGTATCTGAATAACAAGTACAGTCTACGTCAAGAGTATGACGTTAAGATAACTGGTAAACCAGAATCACAATTTGGTATTGCCATCGCTAATGCTGGAGATCTAAACAAGGATGGTTGCGAAGATATAGCTGTAGGCAGTCCATACGAAGGAAATGGAGTTGTATACATACATTTAGGTGATAGGAAGAAAGGCTTACATACGAAACCAGATCAAGTGATAGAAGCGGAATCACTCCCGAGGGTTATGAAGACATTCGGTTATTCACTTTCTGGTGGGGTCGATTTAGATGCTAACGGTTATCCCGATCTGCTAGTTGGCGCTTACGAAAATGTAAGACATTTTTGTTCCATATATTAATAGTGATAATTTTCCTCTAATTTAGGATGGGAAGGAACGATAAGAAAATCGAGTTTACAATTATTTATTTATTTATTTACAGAGCAGCGTCGCATTACTTCGAAGTAGACCGATTATCGATATTAAAACATCGATTAAACCATCGAATACGATTATAAATGTCGATCCATCGAAACAAGGATGTACTAAGGATCCAAGTTCCAACTACACATGCTTTCATTTCGAAGCTTGTTGTATTATAAAATCTCTAGTTAAATCCACGCAAGCAATAACACATGAGCTCAGTTACGTTATCGAAGCGGAAACCTTCTCCGGCGGGAGGAAATATTCCAGAGTATTATTGGATTCGGAGAAAACTAATATTGTAAATAAGACACTAAGATTGGGAAAGGACGTCGAAGTTTGTAGGCAACATATCGCGTACTTAAAGAATAACACAAGAGACATCCAGACTCCTATTAAGGTAAACAAATTGATTTTGTATCAGAATATCTCATTTTGCACCATGACGTTACCGTCAACACCATATTTAATAATGAACAAACAAAAATCCACGAGATTTATTTATTAGATAAATTTATCACGTTCACTTGATCTTATACTAGTCAGCATATTTACTATACTATAACTTATTCAAGTATGTTTAGTATTGCGAGTTAGTATATTACACCGAAATTAAAATAATAAAAGTAATGATAAATATCGTCTTATCTTTTCAGTTCCTAGTAACGTATAAGCTGGTTAACGTAGAACCAGTGTTCTCAACGGTAAAGGCGCTGCCGAATATCGATGACTTCCCCGTGTTGAACGCAACCGCAGTCACCGCCTTCAGTGCCAACTTCCTTAACGACTGCGGCACTGATGGTATTTGTGTTAGTGAGCTACGCGTCGATCCTGTACTGCTGCTGCCTAAATGTAAGTTTGTGTTTATTATCAAAAAGCGGTAGTGATGATGATATTTCATTTTAAAAGACTATTTACAAAATAAGAAGCTACAAGTTTCAGCTGAGCTTCTCTCTTCTTATATCTTATATATAGAATTTACTAACCAATTGGTAAACCTTCCTATGTTTGATTTTAATCGATAACTCTGTTTACATTTCAGCTGAAGATGGAAAGTCTTACGCACTAACTTTGGGCCAAGAGGAAGAAATCAAGTTGTCCATATCTATCGACAATTTGGGAGAATCTGCGTACGAGGGGCAACTGTTTGTGCAGCATCACCCGAGCTTGCATTATATCGCCGCTAACATATCCGTAAGTATTTCTAACATTTCATTTGTAAGGAAACAAATAATAACTTGAGTCAAAAACTCGAAGCTGGACCCTACTTTAAAAAGTAGAATTTTGTGAAAAGAATTTTATGGAGCGATATTATTTTACGATATTTAATATTTTTCTAGGACAAGCATATGATATGTTCGAGCGTAAACAAGACGATAGTATCGTGTATGCTGGAGAATCCATTCAAAAAGCAGCCGGAGGGTGCTGCGCCGGTCATCATGAGGTTCGACGCGAGGGCTCTGGAAGACAATGAGGCGACTATCTCGTTTACTGTGTGGGCTAACTCTACCTCCAAGGAGCGATACCCAGGAAAGAAACCCGCTAAAGTTGAAGCTTTGATTATAAAGAATGCAGAACTTTTGATCAAAGGGTAATAATTTTTCTGGTATTTATAGTTCGAATTTTAAAACGTTATAATTTGGAGACGTTTCGTCAAATGAAATATTATAGTATTAACAATTTTTTTTTAATTTTCAATTTGTCAGCGTGAACAAATGCTCAAAATCTGGGGACGTATAGTGAGCTGATGATGATGAGTAAGCAATGTATTGAATTATAATTGCAGTGTGGCGCGGCCGGAGCAGGTGTTCTACGGCGGCGAGGTGAAAGGAGAATCTGCCATGACTTACTTCGACGATATCGGCACCCGCGTAGTCCACACATATCAAGTAAATTCATTTTTATAATAACATGAACGATTGGGACTCATAATTCGTCGGTGTTATGTATACTTATAACCATCAGTAGATCAGATTTTTGTATAATTCTAGACACAAAAAGATTTTTTCAACATTCTTTTTCTGATCCCGTCAAAGTTGGTTTTACCATGCATTTCCACTGTCGAAACTCTTCTATTTTCAAACAAAACAAGAGAGATGTCAGTATGTTTTTGCATATCTGCTTCAGTAGTTTAAATCCATGGCTAGAATGATTTGTTCTAATGTGCTGAATGTTTTAAATGCAGATATTCAACGAAGGTCCACTGCGGGTGTCATCGCTGCAGGTGGTTATATCATGGCCTCACCAGGTGGCGGCGGAGGGGCCGCAAGGCAAGTGGTTGCTGTACCCTGAAGACTTGCCCACTGTAGATGGTGACGGTGGTAAGTTACCAATATTAATTTATAAAGTGCTGTAGTAAATTTTATAATGTTTCTTCGGCATCGTATAAAGTTATTTAAAATATTTTACAGATCAAAACAATGGAGAATGTTTCCTATCCGACGGTGAAATAAATCCGTTAAAACTTACAATGCGACCAGGCAGCACGGAACCATTGTTAGAAAATCTGGAAATGGACCCATTCTTTACCACGGGAAAACTAAGCGTCAGTTCCAATGAAAAGTTCAATAGAGAAAACAATAGAACTCGAAAAGTTATCGAATACTCATCAGCGTCAGAAAACAAAGTGAGGAGAAAAAGAGATAATGATGTAGTTAAAGCGGAAGCTTACACGGATAAAGATGGACACAGAAAACATGTGGTCAATATGGTAAGAGTAACTGAATTGTCTGTATTCTGCTTGAAGACTTTCTTCAGCTTATACTGAACGTTAATTTAACTGCAAGAAATTCGTAGACTACGAATTAAAAATCACTATAATAGTATTCGTGTGTAAATGACCTTGCAAATTGGAATTCACTAATTAGAAAATTGTAATTTATTTGATGTCAAATCCACAAAATTAATTTAATCATGTATCATTCCAGAACTGCCAAAAGAAGACAGCGAAATGCATTCAGTTTCATTGCATCATTTACGGGTTGCGACGCATGCAGGCGAGCACGATTACTGTGCGCGCACGGTTGTGGAACGCCACGTTAGTGGAGGACTACCCTCGCGTTAGTCATGTTAACATCGCCTCAAGCGCGGCGCTACGTATACCAGAGCACTACAACATACATCAGAGCAAGCATCACGACGACGTTGCAACGGTAATAAATACGATAATCTGAAATTTTTAGAACAAGATCAAAGTCTAAGGTGTAGTCGTAGTCAAAAACTCCGACTTCAGTGTTGGACTGTCCTAACAATGTCGAAGAGTTACATCATTCGAATTATATAAAACTTAACTTTTTATCTTAAAATCTATCTTTCCTAGAGGATAAAGGCACCCTTGTTGGTGATTTTCAGTCTTGTACTGTCGTATAAATACATAAGTTAATTAAAAACAATGTTTTTTCTAGGTTGAAACTGTTGCATATCCAGATTTGAAGATAAGCGAACCTTCAGAAGTGCCTTTATGGGTGATCATCGTGTCAGTGATAGTTGGACTAATTGTGTTAATTTTGTTGATAATAGCCTTGTGGAAATTAGGCTTCTTCAAGAGGAGTCGACCGGACCCGACTTTGTCCGGAAACTTGGAGAAGAACAACCACGAGTCCAGTCCATTTATCGGCAGAGACAGAAACAGCATTCGATAGCTGTGTTACGTGTGGAATTTGTACTGGAACTTTAAAGTTTATATGTGTAACTCATTCTGGAACTTTAAAGTTTATGTGTGGAACTTATAAGTACAATTGTTTTATATAAAACAGTGTACATATTGAATGTGTTCGTCGTTGACTTTATTTATATAATGACGTGTATGTAAAGTTATATAATTTATAAATATCATTTGACTGTGATGTCTTCGTAGAGGAAAATGCGTGTTTGTGATGTTAAAGACGCTGGTATTGTTTTGTTGATGTTTGCACGAACACTAAAATTATAATAAAATATATTGTTTTATGACCAAGATTTAAATACATAGTGAGTGACACGATGCGTGTTTCGCAAATCTTCTCTACTACAAGTCTGGAGAAGTGACCAAGAATATATTTTACTAAAAAACAGAACATCCAGTATTGTATGATCCATAAAATTAACATAGATTCTAAACTTTCTAAGACATTTTGCGTTAATGTCTACAACAACTATTTTAGCAGATATATTTTACATGAAGAGCCTTAAATCTATGATATTAAATAAAATTTTAAAAATGAATAATTACCTAAAATATATTATTGAAAGGAGTCCCTTTAGGCAAGGTTCCGAAGATACTGGCAGCGTTCCCCCTATAATAATATGAGAACTGTTATTTCTATGTATTTAAATCTTTGCGTTAATTTAATTGCATTTCTGTAGTGTTTAATGAGAAATATATTTGTTTATATATTCAATTGAATATATATTATTTTGTAAATACTTGCCTTAATTATTATTTATTAAGTAATATTACTATATGTTTAAAATCGACTAGATTTTTTTACTAGTCAAAATATTTGTTATACCTGTGTAAGTCTTAGGGAAAAAATCCTAGTGAAAAAATACGGTCACAAATTAATAATAGTTTTATTATTGTTTGAAATGTACTACTTAAATCATGATCGTATATTTTACGTACTTAAACCTGAAATATCTTCTCACACCGACTTTTAAATTTGATTTTACTTTATACATGTATGTATCTCTTCCTAGGTCCCGCCGTAGTGGGGCAGAGGGAGTCAAATTAAAAAAAATAAACTTATATATAAATATGACAAATTCAGTATTGTTGATCAGAATATTTTAATACTGTTAATGATTTAAAAATCATCATCAGCTCACTATACGTCTCCACCAAGGGGCTCGGAGCCTACCCTAAGTTAGGGTGATTAGGCCATAGTCAACCACGCTGGCCAAGTGCGGGTTGGTTGACTTCACACATATCTTTGCATTACTTCTCAGATATGTGCAGGTTGCATCACGATGTTTTCCTTCACCATAAGAACGTCGGACATATGTAAATCGGAAATCGAAATACACATTGGTACTTGGCGGGGTTCGAACCCATGACCTGCAAATTGCAAGTCGAGTGCTTGACCCCTGAGCCACCGGCGCTCTAAAAATAACTTTTCTTATATCCATCGAAACATAATTTTTCCAGAATCCCAATTAATTTACATTTTGTATGTAAACGAATATTTTAAGGTGTGTAAATATTAGTGATTTAAGATTTTGTACTAAAATTCGTCTTTGTTGGTGACTTAATATAATATGGCTTCCACATTTTTATACATAACATAAGTAATCATCGCCTATATTATGTACTTTGACATTACATGATATATTTTATAATGTAATTCGAACATCTATTTATAAAACTGGTTGTGACTAGTTCTGATTACATTCTATGTCTCTCTTTTTACAAATTGTACGTACAATCTGTGTATGAAAATAATAAACGGTGCCATTTACTTTCTCGTTTTATTTAGACGTTTTTGTATAGTGTTCATTTAGGTGATTTTCCAGGCTATAATCTACTATACTATGCTAAATTTCAGCGAGATTCCTGCAACCGTTCGTGTGACTTCGATCCATACATCCATTCACCCAAACATTCACATTTATAATATAAGCGTGGTTTGGACATGTTATGCGGAGGGATGATTATGTTATAAACAAAAAAGTAATGAGATTGAATGTGGATGGCTACAAAGGTAGAGGAAGACCAAAAAAAGTATAGAATGACTGTGTGAAAGAATATATGCGTAGGAAGGGAGTAGATTCGGATATGACGGCTGATAGAGATGTATGGAGGAGTAGTACATACTTTGCCGACTTTCAATGGGAATAAGAGCAGGTTGATGATGATGATTCACATTTATAATATTAGTAAGAAGAACTACGGTGTAGTGTCACGAAGTTTTATAATATTAAACGTTTCCGTGTACAAAGATAAGATCCGATACAGGTAACACGAGGACTTGGTAAACACGATCATGTAAAGCTTCCCGTTATGCTCTTTAAAGGACATTGAAATGTAAGTTCAATTACATTTAATAAATGTTCAAATATTTTTTAATTGTGTACGAATCCCATTTACTTTTTCTTAGTAAATCCTACTTGCTTATGTCATTTTATGTTCCCTGTAATGTACATTGCAAACATACATTTAAATTAAATCAAATAAAATGTCAAAGAAAGAGCAGGTTTTTGATTAAAACTAATTTATTAATTATCTTAATTATACAATTTTAATAACTGTAATTATTTATATATAAATGAATTAACTTCAACATAGTTTTATACTTTATCTTAATATATATCGATTTATATACAACCATGTAAATATGTTTGTATATTTTTAACTCGGTATGAGTCTTATTTGCAATAACATCATACAAATAAAGGATTATATGTTTTACATTTATTTTATCAAAAGTAATTAGTTAATACTATAATAATAAAGCTTTATTAAGACTAGGAGTAGATGACATTCTTCAGAATATCCCTAGTACGGTGTGTCAAAACTCAATGATTTATTTGACATCTGAAAACAAACATTAAAAATTAAATTTTAATTTATAACTATTTTTCTTAAAATAAAAGGCATTTAACAAGCAGTGGACAGTCACAAAACCAGAATAAGTGGGTTTCTGAGACTAAAATCTCTTTGTTTTAATAGATTATAACAAGTCAGTTTTAGTGAGCATCTGCTTTGTAAACAAAAGCAAAATAATTTGTCTTCTTCATTTGCTTTAATCTCACAGTGAAATATTTTTTTAGCCGCAAAATAGGATAGAAAAATGCTTTAAAAATCGTAATTTGTTAGCTATTTTAAAGTAAGTTCACGGTCACGTTAAAGATGTAAATCGTGTGATAGCACGTGTGGGCTAAAATGTGTGAATAATTTAAAAAAATCTTATCTTACATCCTTTTTCACTGTCGACCAACAAAATGTACAGAGCGGACTGTTTTTGCAATTGAATTCATTTCTCTGGAGACAAGGCTGTTCCATTACACCTGTGAATCAAAAAGTATATTTTTCATAATATTCGAAATAAACAAAAAATCTTCGAGATTAGACACGCATATTGTCCGAGACTAATCTAAAAATTAAGTACTTAAGTTACGAAATTGCTAGTTGGTAAATTAAAGAAATTCCTACGTAATAGACAGATAAACAAACTAATATCTTTTATTTGATAAAGCAATAGGGCAGAAGGACCATGGTAAGAAACCAACGCTCATAAACATGCGTGATATTAGAGGAACTCCAGATGCATTGCTAGTCTAAAAATCTATGTATTAAAAAGTTAAGATATCGTTACCGGTATACAGTTGGTTGTCAAGATGTGTGATATAGCTGCCAGCAAGGCGCAGTATCTCGATTTTGCTGAGTTTGCGGTCTGGCGGTTCCGTCGGTATCAGAAGACGCAGCGCATTGAACGCCATATTCACGCTGCTTGGAAATCAGAAATGATATTTTGGTAACTATTATAAGATATGTAAAGAATGCAATATTAAGTAGACGGCAAATGTGAAGCTGAAAGAGCGCTAAAAGTGACTTTGCTCAAGAGTTCATGCGTAGAACACGTCGCAATGTAGGCAACATGTGTCACATTTACTACTATTAAATTAATTAATTATTTATTTACGTTTACTACAATTAAATTAATTATTTAATAAGTTTATCAAAATAAAAAATAATGTGTACTAACTTTTGCGTCCTGTCCCTCTCTCTTGCATTCGCTTGGCACCTCTGCTTTGTATTTGGCACTGTTTCCACTGTATTATATGAAACCGAATGCGTTATATTTTTTTCCCAGTCGTTTTCAATGTACCTGCAGTTTAGAAAATTATCCATGTAATTTTTTTTTAATTAATATAATTTGGTGCGTGGTTGCCAGTATCAACGTAAGATGCGTACTAATGCTCGTGCGTGTTGTAGGTCTACTAATAAGTGTCCCGATGGATATCGCTCATGAAGGAGTCATTTAGGAAGAACAGCGCGCGCCATACCCCGGCTCTTAACCGATAATTGTAAAAACAGATGGCTCCCGCTCCCGCTTTAACAGGGACGCATTCGGTTACACTTAATTTTAAAATTTTAAATTTCAATTTTTTTGACAATTTAGTTTCTTAATAGATCTCTTATCAAATCATATCGTAAAATAAGTTATTTTACTTGATTTTAAAGCAATATCTTCTTCAGATCTGAAGAAGATTTAGTTTTTCTTAATATGGCAACGCATAAGTTCTTTTTATCCAGTAAAATGTACAGTTTCCGTGGAATGTTTTTTCACATAAATTAGATAAAAATATATAGTATAGTATTAATAAATAAAAATAATACTTAAAAAATCCGACCCTGTTATGGCAAATGACTGAGTTGTCATCAAGAATGTAAAACGCGGATTGCCCTCCTTGTCTCTGTTAGTTTAGACTAACTACAGCAATAAATATTTTTAATGTCCTCAATGATTTCTCAACGACGTGACTCAACAAATTCTCCTTTGAATAATATTTTTGTTCTCCATATTGTGCACAGATTATTTACGAAATTAATTCTTTTGTATCCGCAATTTAGACACCAAGTAAAAGTTTCAAGGCATAATAGGTGTAATAATCAACATATAAAAATAATTTGCTTGATGGATATGAGGTTGATAAAGCCAGAAGTAACTACAGTAGTAGTCACGTATAAATCGACATGACGTGGGTGGACCCTCCCACAACAATAACAGTGCTTAAAGTTTGCGGCAATTCTTACATGTCTGAATCGCATTTCGCGTGGTAACTATGAACTTGCGTATGGCTCTTTCAATATATCTTTACTTCAATAGACTTTATACACCTAAATAATTAAAATATAGCAAACTGCCAGCTCTGTCTTTCTTCATTAAAAAGGTAGACAAATAAAAAAAACCCTAGATTATATAATAAAATTGTTTTCTTTTTTTAAAAGTGTTTATAAAATCGGTTCAATATTTGAGTTTACAAATTTAAAGGCCCCTAAAATATTATATTGAACACATAGATAATGTTAATAATATTATAGTTCACGCTACATTGGTAAAATTAAAGTGCGTACACTACTTATAAAGTTAATTGCCCCTCGTTGCTCGAAGGATGTAAGTCGTGGGAACTTGCTTAATTGGTTGAATTATATCCGACACTTCCAACGCAAAGACATTTGTGTCCATTCAAAACGTTAATGATGTTTCGCGAGAAAAAATATAACGAGTAATTGAGATTTGTCTGCGTTTGTTTTAACATCGCTGCGTGATTTAAAACAGATGTAACATATTGTAAGTTGAGGAAGTTGTTTAACATCGGTAATTATTTTTGTTAATTATGTTGTGTTCATTTATTGAGGGCAGGTCTTATTTCTATATAAAGTCTTAAATAAAATGAATCTAAAAATTTTTGCAGGTACGGATGTTTTCTAGTAGGATATCTTAATTAGATGAAAGGCTTTATTTTTAAATTAAAAGAAATCTGTTGCAAATACTGTTGTTGTTGTTTTTATTATTCGCTCGATAGAGCAGGCAAAGGAGCTAAGCCATACAGCCTTGTTGCAAATACAACATGACAAAGATTAAAAATTTAAACGTTCTGAATTCAGAATACCTGGTAAGTATGTACCGACTTTACTGAGCACAAGTAGAAAATAAAATTAACTGGAATATATAAAACTGAATCAAGGAAAAAAGTATAGCTCTTATCGTACCTTCAATAATTTCATCAACTGCCATTTAAATTTAATTGATTTAGGATTGTTTGACTAAATATTTAACATATTTATTTTAGAAAATGTAGGTACACGTAGATTTTCTATCAATTGTTTTTAGAAAAATGTACTTAAGTATCTTAAAATATTAAGCATCGTTAGAATAAACATTGTAATGTTAAGTTAAATGGATAAGACCACACACAATAGCATAATGCTTGAAACCACATCGAATCTAAATAATATGCTCAAATTGCGAAGATGCTCAGACGTGAGTTGGTTTTGCATGCAACGTCACAGCCCCCCCTACCAATAGTAGCCAACCGGCGCGCCCGCACCACGGCCGAGACTTTCTCCTTCACGTTAGAGATACATCGTCGAGTCGCGGACCAAAACGCGCGCGAAGCGATCGCATTTAACGACATTCATCGTGATACTTCCGCGTACACTTTCGCTCCGTAAACACACGCGGACGTTTCGTGTTTCCAAAACGTTTCTGATTCAACATCCTGAGTTGGATTAGTTGTGCTTGTGTCATTGGGTGTGTGAACGATGCTCGAATAATTGGAGGTAAGTGAAACCTTTCTAGTGGCCGGTGCTAGACGATGACATTCGATGATAAGGTGGGCGAAGTGATCTGGTGAACGCAAGGACGACACGCTAGCCGCCACGGACGATCACATATAAACTAACCATATAATTCAAAACTTACCTTACTCAACTTTATACTTGCTTTGTTTGTTTAACTAGTTCTTATCAGACTTTCATTTATACGAATTTTCTTTCTACCTCAAAACTATATTATAATTTATGAACTGATAATTACGATAAGAAAGTATTCGACGCAACTTAACCTAACTTTAAATCAAATAGTATGTTTAAAATGAGTATTGGGTGTTAGGGTATATTTCAAACTAAGTTTCAACTTTTTTTTTATTTAAATTTGTACTTTCATTACTAAAATATTCACATAAAGGTAAATTATTATATTATTATTAATTGTTTAAAATGTGTGTAAGAATTTGCAAAATATATATAAGTTCGTTGTCAGCAGAATCATTTGACCTGTTTATTTACACTGACTGTAAATATTTAAAAATAATTCTGACATAATATTTAAATAAACAATGCCTTGCAAAATAACAAACTGCAGTTACTAAATAAGTTCTCGACTAAATATTTAAAAATCTTGCCTTAAAGATATAACAAAAAAAATCTTGATTCGAGGCAATTGTGAGTATATGTTTATTCATAGACTTTCCAAAGAATTTGATATTAAAATTGAATACATTTCTATTTAGTTAGGTAATACATAACACATAATATGCTAATAAAAGATAATCTTTCTTTCATGTTATGGTTTTACAATACCGTTAGTTATTTTATGACAACACTAAGCGAAATCGTAACTTACATAGACGCTGTTTCCTTTGTGTAAGTTTGAAAACTTTGCTTGCAGTTAATCGCATATGACTCAAATTTTTAGACTGAATTTAGTACATGAGTATGCCTAGATTGATACACTTTATCTTCTTTTTCTCTTTTTACTTTAAATGTCGGTAAACTAAAAGTTACTTCCAAGCACTTTGCTAAATAAAAACCCCTTTCCTGTCTACACCAAATGCATAACCAACTAATGTAGTATAAACAGCATCTGAGTGGTGGAATAGTAATACTGGGTAATCTATTCATCTCTTTTTATGTTGGAATAGGCCTTTTCTAGTTACAACGCGTTTTATTCAAGATTATCATCTTAATTACAAGCCTACATAAAGGTCTTTGCACATCCTATATGTCTAACAATTGAAAATGACATAATCGTATTAACCCATATCTTTCCCATATAATAATTAGGAAATTACATACGAGTAACGTTTTCGCAGTTGATGGGAAAACTCATGATTCATTGAGGATCTCCGTTGACATCCTGCCAATGACCTATTACAATGGCTTCTTGTCTCGAGGCGGTTTAGCCACATAACTCACCGTTATATCATACTGTATTTGAAGATTATTTTACTGCCGTGACATCATATAACATTTATAACCGTATCTCTCTAAAATGTGGAAGAATTTTTTATTCCTGTTTATTTTATTGCTACCAAAAACTTACGTCCATTAAATTAAACCATTATTATTATTGCTACATATCAAATGTCGTAGAATTATGTACATTGATGGTAAACAATAATAAATAAAAAAGTATTCGCTGTAGGAGAAATGCATAAATTAACTCATTTAATTAATTATTATCATTACGACCTCAATGTATATTCAGAGTAGTTATCGACAAAATAAAGATACAATCGACCGAAAAAGGTGTTGTAATAAATTCAAGTCTCAACGTTATTTTTAAAATGTTATTTCATAATAATTCGACGTTGTAATATTATTAAATGATTGCCTTAATCATAACAAGAAAAAGACGTATAATATTTATTTGTACTTATCAATGATTTCAAAACCCATACAACAAACATTCAATAACTACAAAAATACCTTTTGTTATAGTATAAGATAACAAACGAGCAAACGGCCATCGGAATTCGCCAAAATAACGAAGTGACCGCTGTTCAAAGATGTTGCCTACTTTTTATTAACAGAAAAGTGGTCACACTGAAAGAGGATATTTCCTCACCTACACGTTCCCTCCCTTGTATTGTATTGTCTCTCTTGTTTTTGGATATTTTTTTATTCAATCGTTTTGCATCGAATTTCATTGATCATTTTTAAAGGAAACGTTCTTTTGTCAATTTATATCGAAGAAACCAGTTTTGAACCATCCTAAAAATATTAATAATCCTATATACTTCCTGAATGACCTTTAAACCGAGTCATATAATTAGTTTCTGACCAGCGACTAACAACTATTTTTGTTTTAACAACAAAAAAAATATTTAAATTCATTGTAACTATTTCGAAGAGGATAAATTCTTGCATAAATTTAGATACGATATAAATTAATAAACTTAGTAACAACTTGCCCCCACTTGTAATTATCCGGTGTCGGTACATGGCCTATATTTTTGTTAATATACCGTAATATTGAAAAGCAACGTCGCCAGACTCAGTCAGTTTCAAATAACGTAATATCATTCAGTTATCAACTTCACACGCGCAAGCTTGTGCAAACAAAGGTAGGTGCGAATCACAGCGATTACACGCAACGAAGGCCACGCGGTGTACCATCAGATGCCTGACAGAAACTTATGTTTGACAGAAACTTAAGGTACTGACAAACGCGCCGTCTAATAGTTTTTTGAGTAGCATATTTTAGGTTTAGTACAAATAATGTACAAGAAGGGTCAGCTCATGAAATCCATTGAATCTAGCTGGTAGTAAAAGTTTAAAGTTAAAATTATGGCAGGTCTTTAGCTCTAAGCCTATTGCTTCATATTCTTCGAAAGGTAAATGATTGATAAAATAGTTATTGGACTTTTACTCTATATTTTTTATGATTCCAGGAAATAGAAAGAATCTTTAGTTAATTATGAATAAACAAAAAAAGTTTACATGTAAATATCCCTAAAGATTATCAACATTTAAAAAATAAATTTTGATCTTAAGATTAACAGATGTTCATAGGCCAGCGACCACACATTTTATTGTTATAACATATAATATTAGACGGTGCGCTACGAAGACACCAGTTTGGTAAGACGACCTCGCCTGATAGTTTTATGGGTCACAACCACGCACCGCTTGCCTAAGCGCAATTATATATGACCGGTTATTATTTTATCTTATGAATTCGAAACTTATCGGCAACATCTTGAGAAATACAATCTTATTGTTAGGGTCCTTCAAGAAGGGAGTCTTTCTTAAACTCCGGCAACGGGTCTACAGATCTTATGATGCAGATGCAGATTCGGAGCGGTAATCATTTTTTGTTAATAAAAATTACACCCTATCACATTAGTACATATTGAAAAGACGTTTACTTATTGGACATAAAAATAACGAAGTCATTTTGAGTAGATATTTCCTCTCAATAATTGGAATAACTTTATTAGTATACATATGTACTAAGTAGTGATCACCTCGAATTGTTTGAGTAAGATAATACCTACAACAAAGTAAATGGTCGTTTTTGCCACGCACTGTTTGCGATACGAGTCGTACAACTCAATGTCTTAATTTGCAACATTAACAATCACCCGCTGACTTATTTGGACCTTTTACAACCGTATGAGCAATGAAATATATTGTAATTAAATGTCACAATATAAAAACGCTGTGTTTTGCAAATACTTTAATTGGCATTACTTTCACCCTGCCCAAAATTTATTTGTCGTTAAAGAGGTAGTAAACACAGTTGGAGAGGTCAATTTGTGTTCTATATGTTTGTAGATGAAATTAGAGATACGTAAGCATTCAAAACTTTTAAGTATGTAAACTATTATCACTCATGATGTATTTGCGTAGGGGTTTTGATAAGTCATCTCGGCACGTACGAGGGCAGAGATTGCGTGCAGCGTTGGACTGGGTGCCGCGAGTAACGTCGAGTGCCGCATTGCACAACGTTGCATGTGGGCCAAACGCCAAGCGCGATCGAATATCTTTACCTAAAATTTGTGAATGTGATTGTAAAAACAATGAATTGTGTTTTTTGGCGATAACAAAAAATATTTTTTAGACCAGAATACAATTACGAACATTATCTAAATTGATAATAAGCAGAGAAGCGATACATAGTTCGTCTATACTAATACTATAAGGAGGAAAGATTTGTATGCATTGAATGGGCTCCGAATCTGCTGAACCTATTTGAAAAGTTCTTTCACTGTTGGGAAGCTACATTATCCCCGGGTGACATAGGCTATATTTATTACAAGATCTCTATTAATTCCGCGAGAACGAAGTCGCGGACAAGTGTTAGTCGTATAAAAATAATTATAAATAACATTTAAGTATTAATAAAATATTATATTAAAATATATATAACAGTTAATAAGCTATATCATAATGTTCATTGTGACCCACTTTTACAAGCGGTATACTTGTCTGCAAACACGTACGACTACAAACTACAATCGAAATTTATTGCACTGTTACTATTTATATGCCAAGATTAAAATCATTTTAAGTTCATATTTCACCACAGAGATTTATATATACATCAATATTGTCTGATATATTTGTAACTTAGTATTAGATTTAACTTAAATATTAAAGTTATTTACTTACACGCAAAGGGATACAGTTTCTTTTATTCAAGTGACAATTCTATTGCTTTATGTTTTATTCAAGTTTGCTTGTACATTTATTCTACACGTTTGATCAATATCACTTCTTGGTATTAAGGTTTTTAAATGAAACCGAAACAACGTAAGTTTACGATATAACATAAATTAGAATACTTCTTACTAATATTATAAATACGAAAGTTCGGATTGATGGATGTTTGTTATCACGTTACTTCGTGACGGCTTAACGTATCTGGATACAATTATGAATTGAGATAGATTGGAGACTGGATAAGCATAGGTTAATAATTGTTACGTTAACGATGTTAGGGGCACCTAGTTAAATTCTATAAACAAATCAATTTGTGTCAAATCTAAATAAAATAAAATTACAATAAGAACAACTGGAAGGAATATACCAAGAGTCATGGCCTAGCGAAACATTGTAACAATCTTTGAAGAGCTGATTGTAAAACAAACTCAAGTAACCTCAAACACTTGTAACTCTGAAGGTCTAAATATGGCATGATCTTGCACGTCGCTGCAACACGTTTATTTGATACAATGCCATCCAAACTTTAAATCGGCTCGAAATAGCGCAGACGACACTTCTTCGAAAACAATTTAATCAGCGCGTTTTGGTACATATATGTAGCTGGGGGCACATCCGTGTTTGGCCTTTCCTCCAACTACAATATCAGCCTGCAAAGACATGTGCGCGCAGCAAACAAGCAGGCATAAAGTTTGAATCTTATAATACTAAATTTATTGAAAGGTATTAAAGACTATATTGAGTGGTGTATCGCTTGCATTCAGTCAAACGGCAACGTGTATAGAATAAAATCGCTAATGCTGCAAAATACATAAACGGCAATTTGAAGGATAAAACGGAAAGTTTAAAAACTAATTATTATCGCAATTTTCGTCAACTTAATCGACACTAAATGGTAGTACCTTTACCACTTTAGCTGTACTAAATGTTATTGTTATATTTCCTTATTTAATAAGCAAATAATTCATGTTACTCTTGAGTATTCATAAGCGTTGTCTTTTATAAGCCGTTAACGCACCGATGCTTACATAACTGATGCAACAAGGAAATAAAAACTATGCAAACTTATGACATGCGTACAAGTTATTATATAAAAATAAAATTATTCACATGAGATTCGAAATACAAACTATATCGCTTACTAACCTCTAATAATAATTGATTAAAAAGCCAAATATGCATCGAAAAGAAAAAGTAAACATTCGCATTTATAATATTAGTGAGATGCAGTTATTAACCATTAACCAATATGTTATAAAAAGTAGATTTTGAGGATAAAATAGCTTGATACAAAACATAAAATTTTGTTGAAAAAAACATTCTCGTCATGCGATAAATCAGTTGAATGACCTTGTGAGGCTTATATTATATGATTGCTTGAATTATATTCACCATAAGTACAGTTATTGCACATTTCGCACAAAGTAAATCAAGTTCATTACTTTCTTACTTTTCAAAAATTACATTCACTGAAAAAAGATAATTTAAATTTGAACTTTGAAACCATAGTTAATCGATTTAGCAAGTACACCAATCCTTTTAACATAAAGGTTAAATAGCGGCTAAAATTGCAATAAAATAGCTTCATATTTTAATATTTATGTGTTTATTGCAACCTAATCTTTATTCTTTGATTTCAGATTTCCATAAATCAAGATGGCAGCCAATTGGCGCCCTTGGTCGACAATGCAGACTTTTATACTCCTCTTCGTCGTGACTCTCTGTTCTTGTGATCCTGGTAAGTTGATACAAACATAATAAATATATATTCCTGATTCTTATATCTTTGTACGTCCAAATAGTAGTAACGCTTCCTGCCTTAACACTGCGAGTGCGCTAGGAACGCAATGTACAAAAACCTTACTTACATTCGAGCGATGTGCATGTCTAAGGGTTAAATTTTGTATAACCTTTGTTTTATAATAAAATATTTATGTTACAGTTAAAATTTCAAAATCAAAAGGACAAGCATGGTCAAGTGATTTATTTTCTGCTAATTGCGTGAAAATTATTAAAAAAAATAATGCCACAAATTAATGGATTGAAATGTTTAAATTGAACGTTTGTTTAACCAAATTAAAACAGAAATCCCTACATTTGGTACAAAATAATTGTTCTATGTCCTACACATACAGAATTTATAAAGAAACCGATCTTTGAATAAGCTTGAACTTAACAAATGAGATCCGCTTGAGTCGTTTGCCTTTAATGTCAAAGTCCTTCAGTAACGAATGATATCTACAGCTCCGGATTCCTTTATTGGAACTGTACCATTCTTCTTGTACACGACACATTAATGTGGTATCATTTAGCTTCCAAGAACAATAATAAATTTAGCACAACAATATAAATACAAAGTAATGATAGCAAAGAATTGAGACCCGTAAACTTTAGAGAATGCAAGCGTACAAACGTGTTCGTATACCGCGAAATAATGATTGCAATCCTATTCATCTGTTACAACTTTAAACATGGCAAACCTCATGGATCTGTGTAAACAGTTTTTTAGACTTGAACTGGGCTTTACACGTTCTGTTCTAATTATTTCTAACCTGTCAGTTAAGGAAGGATGTTTATTATTTTTTATCCTTTTTATTAAACGCACAAACAACTAACAGAAAGTTGGATAGTGATTTGTAAGCTAGTAAAAAATCAAAACTATTTTCAACCAAAAACCACAGTATCAAATTGCATAAATCGTAAAGTAGATCATGTCGTTTCGTATATTAACACTTGAACTTGCTTCTGTGACGTCAGGATCTTGACATTTTATGCGTACGCGGCGTTATGGAGTCACGAAATTCTCTGCAGAATTTCTTTGTGACCTTCACGATAATATAACCTGTAGGTCAAGGTCTTAGTTGATATATTATCACTATTACGTTTATCTATAAGTTTTTTTTACTAATAAAAGCTTCTACAAGTGGGGAATTTATGCAAAATTCCATCTCAATACTTTATTCTTTTTTTCTTTAGACTTTTATTTCCATATTTAATTAATTATATCAGTAAGTTAGTACTAAGTAATCACTAATCACCATAACTATTATTATTTTACGCTTTTATGAGAGTACAACCTACGAATTTAATTGCTCAAAGTAGTTCGCAGCGTTATCGAACACGTTTGTATCAATGACCTTTAGTTTCACAAATACGCTAAAAGCTTTTATACAATTTTGCATGTCTGTACATTAGCAAGGAAGGCTATGAATGCATTACGATAGGTATGAAAAAAGAGCAGGTTAAAAAAATATAATCCCCTCAATATAATAAATAGTTACAATTTTCTTATTATGTTGTTGTCCAATTTATATAAAGCAGTTTATATAAGCTTTTTTAGCATACAAAAACAATTGAAATAATCAAAATACTTATTATTAACCTTAATATTTAAGTAACATTAGTAACTTTTAGGTAGTAAGTAAAGAACTGTGTAGTAACGGAAAATGTTAATTACTTCCTTTTTAAGATCTTACCGACTTAAGCCTTGGGCAAAATAGCATTACGATTTGCATGTAATGCAATAGGCATTAAATGATTTTCTGATGAGTTTTTTTCTATAAATTAACACCTATACGAACGCAAAAAATAATTACCAGCTTTACAACGCGATGATTTAGTATACAATAATATTCATAAACGTTTACGAATTTTTATACCATTTATCTTACATATAACTTTTTACATAAATGGTTTTACACACCATGGATATATTGTTTATAATATAATATTATGTACTTAATATATAGAAGATATGTATATTATATTTATCGATGTCTTGATGTATCCGGGACATTTTTTGACATTTAAATGTCAAGTCGGTAAACTTCCTGAGATAGCCTAGAATTAAACACTTCCTGGATTTTAGCATTAAAATCATGTTTCCTACTTGTATTTGACATTGCATTCGCACGACCTACTTGCTACTTGATATTTAATGACCTTGCATGTAGACCATTTAGAATTTAAACGACGGACATTATTATATAAATTAAAAAATATATAAAAACAATTGACGAAAGACTTTTTGAAATCACAATTCAATACATCATATATCCTATAGTATTCATATTACTATCCTTGTCGGACAATCCTGAACTATATTTTGATCAGAAACATTACATAATAATTTATATATACTTATAAGAATCACGCACACTTGTTACAATTACCATGTTTGTCAAAATATGGCAAAGCAATAATCTAATGTTCACAAAGTAAAGAAGTAACAAGTCTCCAAACATTTGGTGGTTAAAACAAATGTATAATAAAACATTTTATGTACATGCGTATAATCGCGTCGCACATGTCGCGAGAGAAAGCAGACGAAGGTCGCCTTTGTGTGGCCTCCAGTGACCACGTAGATATTTTGACGATGACTCTTATTAGGTTTGCCATTTGAATATCGTGTATTTTAGAAATTCATAGAGACAATAATATTGGTACAATATAAAAAAGACAATTAAGATTGTTAGTGTTTAGTACGCAACAATTTTATATTTAATTTACCGAACTTTAATGTAACTTGTAACTTAATTAGTTAATATGATGATTTCTGATCTTACAGAACAGATAATATTATCGTCAAATAAATGATAATTATGGTTTCCTATAGCAAGTTATATTAATGAAGTTGTTGCTACCAACAAATTAATAACTTCCTTGTCACATAAACATTAGCAGATGCGTTGCGATGAGATCTTCGTTAAACGCATATCTATACCTTTATCTATCATCATTATAACTTAGCGTAAGTTTCCACTTCTGAAAAACTTGTATTAAAACATATCGTTGTGTCTATTTCTTCAAAGGTAATTAGAGAGATGACGGTATATTTTTGTACATGTGCTCCGGTAGTGGAAACCCACGTTAATATTTGCTTAAATCGTTAGCAACCTGTGTGAGACCTGTTAATAGCTTTGTTAAAAAGTTAATATTATCTATGATTTATCATAATTTTTTATTCAATCTTATATTAGCAATAAAATATAGTGGGCAATATAACAAAATGGTAAATCCATCAAGGATATAACAATTGTAACTTTTATAATAATACATCTTCAAATTAAATTTATTTTGAAGCCATATACTAAAATTAGCTATCGATGTGACTTAAAAAAAGAACAAAATTAGTAGTCTATGTGTTCTTCCAAACTTTATTCTGTGTATGCCAAATTTCATCGTTATCTGTTCAGCCGTTCCGTAGATACCTTCAAACAAACATCCATCCATCTAAACATTCGCATTTATAATATTAGTAAGACAAATCAACGCAATTATTATTATGTGCAAAAAGAAGCTAAATCTATTAAGATCATGAGTCTTTTTTAAGATATGATCTCATTTGCTATGAGAAGATAACAAAAAAGATGCTTCTTTTTCTCAAGGAATCATTTGCCCTGCTGACTGTACCGGATTTAGTTTTTGTACGCGGATACGGTCAGAAAAAACTAACTTCTCATCAATCACTGACATAAAACACACGTCAATTTGAGTAGTTCTCATTCAGAAAACCCCTAATCATCTTTTTGTATTGTTAAGTGTTACAATTAGCACCACTTTGAAACTATTAAAGTAATTTGCATATCATGCGTCTTATTTTCTTATCCTTTAGCTTTACTAAGATCACGAATCTTTCAATCAACTTCATTATTCTTTTTATCTTACATGTAGTTTAAAATCTTACTTCTTACTAATATTATAAATGCGAATGTTTACATGGATAGATGGATGGATGTTGAAATATGGCGTAGATGAACATAGTCTGGAAGAACACATAGGGTACTTATTAAGTTTTGTGTTTAACTCTTAATTTGAATAGATTGGAATTAGTTCAAAAATATAACAGTACAATTCCCGTTAGAGTATGTACGTTAAAAAAATATATGCATAAATTACTCGTATCGTTAGACCTGTCGACTACTATTGATAGATATGTCGATAAACATTGAATAATATCGATTGATTTCGAAAGTAGATCGCGTCGGATGCACGTCTCTCGCTGTTGGCCGACGTCAAAGAAGTTCTAACAGCTGCGCTTATAACAACCTTTACCATTACAATTATATAAATCAATATCTTGATTGAATGTCGAATCGTTGACCTAGAAATTATTTTTTCTAACACATGTCAACTTACAATTTTATCTTTGTTTAATGAATTGTAAATCACAATTTATTTATAGTCAACTTTAAGTAAGCTTTAAATAAGTTTTTGTGCAATTATAACAATATCTTCATTAAAATGTTTTGGCTTAATTTTATGGTCTGCCGCCTGCCTGTCGCCATCCCTTATTGTTAGGAATATTTAACATCTCTTTTTTTTAATTATAATATTTATTTGATACCTTTGTCACTTTTAACTCATAAAGGTTAAATAAATAAGTACAGTGCACATAAATATTTATGTATGGGTAACAAATGTAGAACAAATAGTACTCAGTGTAATAATAATTTGGGTCAATAATAAACAGATTATAAAATGACATAAAATATTTTATTTACGCAGCAATAATCATTTAAGAAATATTGCAGTGAAAAAACAACTGCAATATAAAACAGATTTAACACACACGGTGCAATTGCTGCAGCTGCAGATATCATGCATGTTTCATGACCAATTACATTCGCCTTCACTTATATACTAAATGTCAACGTCAATATATGTACTAGTTACAGTTTTCTTACATTTAATCCATACTTAGTTTTCTGAAATAAAGAAAAATGTTTAGTCTGTGAGTAATTCGTCATTCTAAACATTGTTTACTTTTTATGCTAGTTATTTGAAAACGATAAACAGTTGATATAAAAGAAATAAATCGACTTAAAAGTTGTTTGTCAGTATGTCTGTAGGACCACACATACATATATAAAATTACATGAGTACGAATTGAATGAAATGTTACAGGGTGATATATTATAAATTTAGGAAGAATATACAATCGTTCTAATAAAAATATGCTGAGTAATTTTCGAACAGATTATGAATGCAAGGCATCTAGGTTCTAGATCAAGCTTAACCCAAACTAAAAGTAACTTGCAATGTTAAATGATAATTTGTTTTCATCTCACGTAAGAGGTTAATTGTATACGCTTTGGAATCTTGTTTCGGTTTGCCAGCATTTTACGATTGAAGTTATTGACTGGATCACATATTTGTAATATATGTTAAAAGATACGTCTTTATTTTATAAACTTATAAAAAATTAATTTCATATTGTCAAAAATAAAATAAACATTAATAAAAGATATTAAAGTTATACAAAATACTAGCTTTCACCTGCGATTTCGTCTACGCGGAATTAAAAAAAAAATATGTGTCCTTTCAGATTGTACTCTACATGCGTGTCAACTTTCATCAAAATCCGTTCAGTCATTTTAGAGATACGTAGTAACAATCATCCACCCAAAATTAGTAGCACAACATGTTAAAGTGAAATAACAAGGGACAGCATAAAATTCCTGAAAGTGTGATATGAAATATGAAATTATTTTATTTATTTTTGTTTCAGAAATATATTTTGAGAAACAACGCTACGATGGCTGGTACAACAACAGAGCCTACCCAGACTGGGGTTCCGTCGGTACGTATATAACTGCTATTTGATTATCTGGTACAAAAATTTCGTGTTTAATATTTTTAAATCTACATACCTATGTCGTTCATATATTTTATGAATTGTATATTATCTTAGATTTAATATAAACATTTTTATAATGGATGGTCTAACAAGTTTCTTTATCTCTATCTAAATAGACTAAACAAATTCTTACGATTGCAACATGTCAATAAATAATATTGCAACATTATTTTTTTAACTGTTACTATTGTTATACTGGTATTCAGGTTTAATCTCAATAAAGTATTTGGTTTATCTGTATGGCCTCGTTGTAATAGTTCTGTTGAGTCGCTACTAGCGCAGGTGTTAACTTAACGTTAAGATAAAATTAAAAAATTAATCGTTCTGATTAATAAATTATTTCAAAACAACTTGCATTTATTCCATAAAATTAATCATAAAACTTTATAAATACAGAAATAAATTAAAATTTGTATTTTTTTCTATTATTAATGTATATATAGTAATTTCTCGCGAGATCCAACTTGACGATTATGATTTATCTCCAAAAAAAATCGATTATTTTCTGGATACTTCGTCATGTAAATATTCAAATCGTATGTATAATATTACTTAGATAATAATATGCATAACGGTGTAATTGCATAATACATAGGCCGACCTCAGGAAACGTAAATGGAATCTTGCTATGAGACTCATCAACACATAAATAATGAATGAAATTAAATTACAAAGCCGTTTGATGACATTCAGATGGAATTAGTCATTTAAGACTTTAACCGTTGCTTTTAAGTAAATCAAGTAAACACGAAACTCCCATATAAAAGATTTCAACGCTTGTAAGTTTTTTCAATAAGCTTTCTGCAAAGTTAAATTAAATATTCAATTACTCGAGTAAGAATTTTATTTAATTATTCATGTCACTCATAGCCTCATGCTTTACTGGAAATGATTAGAATTTATTGATAAAATTGTTTTTTATATAACTTTAAAATTTCGTGGTTTTTACTATAACATTCGTAGCACACTTTTTGTTGCTTAATTGTAAAGAGTCCAGCCTAAGGATCGTTGAGTATTAACAATGGATACTGTTGCATATTATACGCATATTAAATAATATTATATGTCGTGTCCTACCGTCGTATGTTTGCCTATTTTTACCACAAATAGCGATTGCGTGACAAAGGTTAATTAAACAGTATTATAATAATCAAATACGAAAAATTCCTATTTCATCATGCAAAATGAATTAGACAAAAACCATGCATAAATTAGTCAACATCAATGAATTGCACTTGTTTCAGATCACGTCTCAATGTTAGAATACATTCCCAGGTGTTGCAATTCTTTTTTGTAATTATTTTATCAATGATCCAAAAATTCATTGGCTGTATATTCGGGCAAATATAACATATTTACTTACTTATTGTATTTGAATCAGCTAATTGAGTTTTTGCTTTTAATTTGCATTGAAAATGCTAAAACTGTCACAAATATTTTATCATGTCATCATCATCAGCTCACTACACATCCCCACTAAGAGACACATACCCTACCTTAAGTTAGGTATAACTAGGCTATAGTCAACTACGCTGACTCAGAAACCAGCTTCGAACACAGGACCTGTAGATTAAAAGTCAAATGCTTATCCTCTGAGTCACCGACGCTCTCCTGACCCACCGACGCTTTGTCAATAGGCATGTGTACTCATGGCTTACCACTACAAATCGTTACTGTTAAGGAATTGGAAAGCCGCGTTGATCAGATTACGTCACAGTTAATAGTGATACCAGAGTACTTGAATAAAGACTTATTTAATTTGTCATTCTTCTTGTGTAACTGATGGCTATCAAGGTAAATAAACGCATTGGCATGTTCTGTACGTAGGTTAATGTCTAGCAGCGGCGTGCGGACAAAAACTAATTAATGACTTCGTGTGAACCATTGATTTTGCTCGCATGTGTACAGGTCACGTTTATTGAATTTATTTTTGGTCGACTGCTATCATTACTGGAACTAAAGCTTAGACAAATTAACATTTGTATTGCTTACATCAATGGTTACCCAATGAATGGTTTTCTGTATAACCACTAAGTCCAATGATATACGATACGAAATTAATTATACATCAGTATTGTTCAAATAGTGATTAAACTTGTAAACAGACTTACCGTACGTTGTTGAGACCAAAATCACTGTTAAAACATATTGTTTTGTCAAAGATAATGACAGGAGATTCTCAGAAACCAACGGTTTACTATTCTATAAAGTAACGCATGCATTAGGGACTAGCAACAAATGAAACTTAGCTACAAATATATTGTTAATTGATTTCAACATTTATTTTAATAACAGCTCTCAGATCATTTCAATAGTTTCGTATCTTGTAGGTAAGTTACTTTCATATATGCATGAATATATTTTTTATTAAACCATTAATTTAAAAGTTACATATGTAAATCGACTTCATTAAAATTACAAATGTATTATTTGTTTAATCTTAAGACCATGAACATTTAAGTAACCAAAATAACAAAATGAAACTCGCGTTAAAATTGCGTAAGCAATCTTTGTATCGATATTCATATGTTTCAGTTCGTGACAGCTGTTTGTTATTTATATCATAAACAATATCACTCTGTATTATTAAGTCTTGAAACATGTACGTTGTGTCTATGGGTAATAATTATTAATAAATGATTGTCAAATATCTCAGCCCAATATTGCTCAAATACAACCAACCCGCACTGGGCCAGCGTGGTTGACTAAGCCCCTCGGTGGGGACGTATAGTGAGATGATAATGATGTTGACAAGCGAACAATGCTGATGTAAGAAGTATAAAATGTTTTAACAAACAAATTAAGCAATGTATGTACAATTATTAGTTTATGGTTTATATCATATTCCCCGATCGACACATTATAGTGCCTGTGTTCAATTTGACTTACAATATTTGACAATTAAGATTTTTCTTTAATTAAAATTATTGATACATCAATATTTCCAATCAACAAACCGATATTTTGCTTTTTTATGCTTCTAAGCATTCAAAAGATTTGAGTGTAACTTATATTAAAAATGATTAGAGTCAATGATCGTCTAGAGATCAAATAAATTTGTTTTTAAAACCTATAAAATTGCAATAAAACCATTTATATGTTTAATTATTGATGTATTTTTTAATGTTCAAAATGTTAGAATATTTATTTATCAGCACATTATAGTTCGTGAGTATTCGGTTATCTAACTGTGATAATTTATTAGGAATTAATTTTGAGATTAACACGTCATTTATAACTTTGACAAGTTACCACGACTCGAGCCTGCGGCGATGTAAATACGGACACAAACTAATTGATATTACAACATATTAAAGTGACTTCGTAATTTCTATGACATATTCAAATGGATGAATATTATGAATGTTTATTTCAAGCGATTTTTTCGTGTATTTTTTTTTAAATTTCGATTACAACAATTACAAAGATTTAAATTAAACAATTTTAACTCCATGTAAAGTTAAAAAAATGAGAATCTATTTTAATTGGCAAAACTAATTTCTGAGTGTTAGTCGTATTACTTCATTGTAATTTTAAAGACCCTTTCACGAGTTTACCATATTTGATTTCATGAGAATTATTTATATGGGTCAGTGTGTAGTAGGTTTAAATGAATCTTATCTGTTAACTATAATTGGAACGTTTTATTGGTATAGTGTATTTATGTACCTTTCCATCTCTGTTAATCCTTGATAAAATACTATTAAAACTAGTATTTACTTCGATGAAATGAAAATCAATATTGTTTGCAGACAGTAGACTAACAAGAAAGACTCCTGCTTCGTACGCGGATGGTGTATACATGATGGCAGGAGCAGACAGGCCGGGAGCTAGAGCACTGTCCAAGTTATTCATGCGCGGACAAGACGGACTACCTTCATTATCAAACAGGACGGCCTTACTGGCTTTCTTTGGTGAGTTATAAAACTAAAAAACTACCTTAATCTTATTCTCATTCGCAGCTCAATCGAAGTATTTCTACCTTCTTTTAACTGCCCAAAGTTCACAGTAACAGAGTACATTTTTACACGTATCCCTCTTTAACATGTTTCCCATCCACAGGACAGGTAGTGACTGGCGAAATAGTAATGGCGTCAGAATCTGGTTGTCCCATCGAGCACCACCGCATTCCGGTAGACAAGTGTGACCACATGTATGACCCGGAGTGTCAGGGCGCCAAACATATGCCCTTCCTTCGCGCTGCGTACGACAGACAGACCGGTCAGAGTCCTAACAGCCCTCGCGAACAAGTAAGATAATCATCGTACATTTCATTTAAATACTTCAACACTTATTCAGGAGGGTAATGTTTTTTCCTCGTGTCTATGTTTACTGTATTAAAAAAAATATATACTTTAAAATGCAGATCGATGTGCGCATCTTTATGTTTTGTACCAGATTTGTGTACGATAGAGTCGTATAACAGATTCGAACCCAAGATTTTATATTTCGTAGATTAGATCTTGGCAGGATCTTATTTCAATCAGTTAGTATGCAATGCATATGTGTGTAAAATGGCATGAATATTTAACAACAAACTTAATAGTTAAATACCTAAAAAAGGTAAAATACTTTACAGAATTAAACTAACACTGCGCTAGTTCTTTTGAAATACCTACCTCTAATGTTACTGGCTTAACGATTATTTACCAATTTAAGATAATTTATAGTATACATTGATGTTAGGTACGTCGATTGCCGTCTCTGTTCGGTGAAGGATAAATTCTATGCAATAAAGATTAATGTCGGAGTTTAACCCAGATCTCATCGTAGCTTATGCGCAAAAGTCCATTTCATTCAAATACAAACTATTTTTTTTTTTAATTTAACAAAAATTTCTTATCCTAAACAATTATTAAAACATGACCATGTAATTGAAATTAAATTAGATAAATAATTATATTTAATGTCTTCTAACTTTATATCGTTAGCTTAGCGATCTAAATAGCGCTTTTCAATGTTTACAACAAAGCTATATTTTTTTATAAATAAGTCATTCTAAAACTACTCGCGTTTCAAATAGATAATCTTTAGTGCCATTAAATATGTGTCTTTATTTTAATGTAGAAAAAAATATTTCTTAGAACTATAATCATGTAAGATGTCATACGTATGCGTTGTTGCAGATCAACCAGATAACATCATGGATCGACGGCAGTTTCGTGTACAGTACGAGCGAGGCATGGGTGAATGCAATGAGGTCATTTCAGGTGCCACCAGCAGCCACGCCTGCCTCTTTATGTACAATTCTATGCGTTTACATATCTTATTATCACATATCGAGATATGTCACATCTTTCTCTCTTACATCATCAATAGCAAACACGAACACTGTTCTGAACTGTACCTAATTCTCATAAATGTCAAAGACATTTAACACTATTTGTTATTATCTAAATACAATAAAAGATAATTTTACTACTTAATACTATGAAAAAAGCTAGATGTCATTTTTTAAATGAATTGTGCTTCGGCAACAATTTCATCCGATGTTAAGTCAACATTATTCAGCCTTCTCTTAAAAGTGTCAAAACAATTGAGCAAAAACGGATTCTGTCTGTATCAAAACATTGTTTACGCACAAAAAAACACAAGTTCATCGATCAAAACATTAAAATCGTTTACATCCTGTATAAAACGTATGTTCATTGTGTAACTGAATATAATTGTACTTATAGAACGGAAGTCTAGCGAGCGATGGAGGCATGCCGCTGCGCAACACGAAACGAGTTCCGCTCTTCAACAACCCTGTGCCCCATTACATGCGAATGCTCAGCCCTGAGAGACTGTTTTGTGAGTTATATCATACTAGCCACCCGCGCGAAATAAAAACATCTTAATTAGTAGTCTATGTGTTCTTCCAGACTATGTTCTACATCAATGCCAAATTTCAGCGAGTTTCATGCATCCGTTCTGGAGACAGGTTCTAACAAACATCCATCCATACATTCAAACATTCACATTTATAATATTATTAATATAGTAATGATCCATTTAGTAATGATCCAACCGAGATTTTATGACTATAATATAGACAGACACAAACTGAATTTTAAAAACTACTTATATAATATTGAGTTGTAATCAAATCTAGAAACGGTTCAATTTACAATTAAAATATTTACTGATTTAATTGATTTGCGATTTCTTCGTAATCTAGTTAGTATATTTGATTTATCTGTAATGATTTGCTGAGCATACTTAAACTTCTTTTAATTTATTTTGTATTTACTTACGACAAATATGTATACAAAGTGACTAAAAAATATTATTCAAACTCATATAAATGCAACCACACCCATAGGTTTCCAAGCTTGAAACTTGTACTTTTTGTATGAATCTTTCAATCACAATCATACGATAACTTTAAATAAATATATTTTCTTTTTTTTACGTATCAGCTAAGTTTCTATATCTTTTTGAACCGTAAAATCAGTACAGTAATATTCGTTTTTCCATGAACAGTATTAGGAGATCCACGGACTAATCAGAACCCGGCACTGGTGACGTTTGGCATACTGTTGTTACGCTGGCACAACGTAGTGGCCGCGCGCGTCCACAAACAACACCCAGATTGGGATGACGAACAACTGTTCCAGCGAGCACGTCGCATTGTCATAGCTAGCTTACAGGTAATGTTTCTAAATTAAATGGTAGATAATGTAGGTATTAAACGTGAGTCAAGAACTGACTTTTTAATTTGTAAGGTTATTAGACAAAAAGTCAAATAGTGATAGTAAAATTTATTATTAAAGTATCATAAAACTTTTAGCATCTACAGTAAAATGTTCTTTCGAAACTTCAATTCAGTATTTTCCTCCTTTCTAATTTGTAAACGTAAGGATGATTACAGAAATATTATTTGTATTGCATCATTAATTATTACAAACAAAATTACACATTCTGAATCTTCATGGTATGAAGCTGCTCTACGCATTTCTTGTTCATTCCTACAATCGCCAAGATCGATCCAAATTAAATACTATCTAATTACTTATACTTTCCCTTTTTTAAGTTATTTTTTCATTTACGAAAACGGAATGCTTATGAGTCGTGTTTATGAACATTGTTTCATCAACAGAACATAATTCTATACGAATACGTGCCAGCGTTCCTCGGTGTACCTCTTCCTCCATACGAGGGCTACCGGGCGGAAATAGCACCTGGAGTTACGCATGCGTTCGCTGTGGCTGCATTTCGGTTTGGCCACACTTTAGTACCTCCCGCTATATTACTGCGAGACAGAAACTGTAGATACAGAAGAGCGCCTGGAGGTCATGATGCTATTAGATTATGTCAAACTTGGTGGGATGGAAATGTAAGTATTCTTCATACATTGTCAGGTTGAATATAAAGTATTTACTTGATTTACTTGACTACTGTGTTCGTTTCTTGAATCGATAAAGTTCGAGCAAGCAGGTGATTAACACTGTGTTCTAGGCTGTTGGATAGGCTGCCGCCGTGAAATTCAATGAAGTGTTTACTTGAAGTGTGACTATTAAACAAAGACAAACAACCAAGTTTTCGTTTTTTGGGTTTTCATTAAAAATGTCGGTTAAACAAAAAAATTGTTATTATAATTCCGGTTCTTTGTCTAAACACAGCACATAGTAAAAAATTTAATTCCTTCACGAGTAATTTACTTACTCTATTATTACTGACCTACTTAGATAAAACTTAATTGTTTTAGGATGTGATGTCACAAGTACCTATAGAGGAAGTACTAATGGGTATGGCTACCCAGTTGTCTGAAAGAGAAGATGCGTTACTATGCTCTGATGTTAGAGACAATCTATTTGGTCCTATGGAATTTTCTAGACGCGACCTTGGAGCACTGAACATCATGAGAGGCAGAGATAATGGCTTACCTGATTTCAACACTGCAAGGTAATTAAACAAAAACTTTTTAATTTCATGTCACTTTAATATTTACCAAAATGTTTTTTACAAAATACCTTCATCTTTAAAAAGTACATGCGTAATTTTTCAGAACATACTTCGGACTACCAAAAATAAAGACGTTTAACGAAATTAATCCTGATTTATTCGACAACAATCCAGACTTACTGCAAAGATTAGTTCAAGCTTATGACGGGAAGCTTGATAATATTGATGTTTATATAGGTAAGTTAATTTGTAAAGAAAAAGAAGTCTGAAAAAAAAACAAATACTTAACAAAGTTCATAATGACTTTTTTCAAAATTAATAAATAGTAAATAATTCTACACAAGCTATGTATAAAACAAAATATACCTTATTCCTAATGTACAATTACAAACTGTTACAATTTAAACTTTATTTTAATCGTGATTACAGGAGGCATGCTTGAATCGACTGGTCATCCAGGTGACTTATTTAGAGCAATCATTATAGACCAATTCACTAGGATAAGAGACGGAGATAGATTTTGGTTCGAGAATGACAAAAATGGGTAAGAAATTAATGAAACATATACGCATTAGCATAAAGAAACTAAGATCTGATGTATTTCTTTTGTTTTAAGGATATTTACTCCTGATGAAATTGATGAACTTCGTCGTATTACGTTGTGGGATATAATTGTGAACAGTACAGCTGTTGGTCCCAACGACATCCAACGTGACGTATTCCATTGGAACAAGGGAGATCCCTGTCCACAACCTTACCAACTGAATGCTTCTAAACTACCTCCCTGTAAATATTTAAAAGGATACGATTATTTTGAGGTAAAACATTATAAATATTGTTATCAAAAAATAGTTGTAAGCTGTTACTATTTGATTTAAATAAAATCCTTAACAAACTAAACTTATTCTACTTACGAGGCTAGTAAATTTAACCAAGTTTGCAATGAGAAATTCTAATTTCGAACTCCTAATATGCCTGCATTATTAAAAATCACCTTATCGAGGTGTAAACCGATCTAACCAGCTTATAAATTGCTAATTTACTGACTTATAAAGGTATACCGCAAGTTGGCTATGACTCATTCTATATATTAAATTTGCACAGGGCAACGAGTTCGCATACATCTATACTTGTCTCGCATTGGTATTTGTGCCAATACTGTGCGCAGGCGCCGGCTACGGAGTCGTTAAGCTACAAAATAGTCGACGACGTCGGCTCAAGATACAACAAGAACATCTAAAGAATGCTCAGTACAAAGGTACGGGAATATACATATGTTGACGCACAAATACAGGTGTACTTTGACGTGACTTAACTCCGACATGAGTCCGTAGAAAAGGGATTTTATTAATCCATAAAAATATAATTCGTTGTATCTCAAAAATAAAAACATGGAAATGGCACAAATTATTTTTTAGGTTCGGTAGACAAAATGGTATGCCGCGAGTGGGTGCATGCGTCTTACAAGCGCCTGGTGAAGCTGAGGTTAGGTCCTGAACCGGCCATACACGTGACCGATCGCAAGGGAGACAAACTACGCACCGTACCGCTAGACAACGCCGATCAGCTCACCATACTCGAGAGTCAGGTAACTAGCTTATAGTGAGAATTAAATTAGATTGTAATAAAAGGACCTAAAAAATACAAAACAAGCCTTAATTTTCTTCTTTATTTTTTGTACTTGGAGGCTAGCAACAAAATTTTGGTAAAAGGGCTGTCTTTTGTGGCAATAAGCCCAGTCCACGCAAGAAGAAATAGTCCTGGCAACAAAATAATCAATCCAATTTGTGGTCAACTCAGTTAATTGTAACTAAAACATCCAAACTAAACTAAGCGACTCCCTTCATTAGTAGTAAAAGATTATTTCGTATGGTTACAGGAGGGTCACAGCAACAAGCGGCCGCTGGTGCTGATCCGCGCGCCACGCGAACACGACCTCGTGCTAGAGATGGACTCGTCTGCTTCACGCCGCAAGTTTCTCCTCAAGCTCGACACATTCCTTGCACAGCATAAAAAGGCCATGAATCTCACACAGGTGAATAAGCTGATACTTATTACCATAGAACAACAAGGGACCTTCGATAATCTGAGCTTTGTTAATTTGTAGTGATAATTATTTTAATCTTATTTGTAGTTAATTTATCTTTGATTTCATAGGGACACCGAGATCAAATACTAGCATCAGCTGAAACAAGAGAAAGAAGACAGCGCAAGTTGGAGCACTTCTTTAGAGAGGCCTATGCTATCACATTTGGTCTGGCCCCGGGAGAGAAGAGAAGACGTTCGGAAGATGCTGATCCAGAAGTAATTTATTAGTCTTAAATCAATGTAGTCTTTTTTTCCTTTTTTCTAATTTTTTTTGTGTGTATTTTCAGTCTATTGTGATGAGGACATCGCTATCTAAAAGTGAATTCGCAAGCGCTCTCGGTATGAAGGCTGATGCAGTTTTTGTGAAGAAAATGTTTAATATTGTTGACAAAGATGGTGACGGACGAATATCATTCCAGGTAATGTTTCTATATTACTTTAAACAACTTATATTCAACTCTGTTTGCTTTTCTAATACTCTGAAATTTAGCGTTTACTAGTTCTTGACGATGATAACATTTGAAAATAACAAAACTATTTTATATTGACAGGAATTCTTGGATACTGTAGTGCTATTCTCTCGTGGTGCGACGGAAGACAAGTTGCGTATAATATTTGATATGTGTGACAATGATCGCAATGGAGTCATCGACAAGGGCGAGCTGAGTGAAATGCTGCGCTCACTAGTCGAGATCGCGCGCACCACTTCTCTACGAGATGAACATGTGACTGAATTGATCGATGGAATGTTTTCTGTGAGTGTATATTGCCATCTCTTTTATACTCTTTGAAAAAACAAAGACAACAATATGTTTTAATACAAGCATAAAGCTAAAGCTAAGCTATTCTCATTTCAGGATGCCGGCCTTCAACACAAAGACCATCTCACATATTCCGATTTTAAAGTTATGATGAAAGAATATAAAGGTGAATTCGTTGCTATCGGACTGGACTGTAAGGGAGCGAAGCAAAACTTTTTAGATACATCAACTAATGTGGCCCGAATGACCAGCTTCCATATCGAACCATCTATGGAACAGTCTAGGTAAGGAAATTAAGCTTTAGTCAATTGATTAGCTTCCTTTAGACAAATAAATATTTATCTCGTCTAATAAACATATTAAATGAAATTAAAATTCATAATGCCTTTATAAAAAATTTGATAAAAAAGAAACCGACTTACTACCATTTTCTTTTGTTTCAGACATTGGTTGCTACTCAAATGGGACTATCTAACTACGTTCTTAGAAGAGAACAGGCAGAACATCTTTTATTTGTTTGTATTCTACGTGGTGACGATTGGTCTTTTCGTCGAGAGATTTGCGCATTACTCTTTCATGTCAGAGCATTTGGATCTGAGGCATATAATGGGCGTTGGAATCGCGATTACTAGAGGATCCGCGGCATCGCTTTCCTTCTGCTATAGTCTTCTCCTTCTCACTATGTCTAGAAATCTCTTGACTAAATTAAAGGTGAATATATGAATGAAAGTGAAATTTTATTGTTATAAGAACAAAGCTAATAATACTTTAATTTTCTAGGAATTCAGCATACAACAGTACATACCACTCGACTCCAGCATACAATTCCATAAGATCGTCGCCTGCACCGCTCTATTCTTCTCTCTCCTACACACAGCTGGTCACATGGTCAACTTCTACCATGTATCCACACAACCCATAGAGAACCTCAAATGTATGACCAAAGAAGTTCACTTCACCTCCGATTTCCGACCTGGTATTACTTATTGGGTATTCCAAACGATAACAGGTTAGTGTTAATTTCTAAAAGTAAAACTACAATGGTTAAAAGTAAATTGCGTCATTGTTAAAACATGACTCAAGTATCCTAAGAAAATTCTGCATAAAACTTTAATTGGCGAAAAACTTGAAAATCCGTCCTATTATTTACCTTTTATTCCAGGTACAACCGGTGTTCTCCTCTTCGTCATAATGTGTATAATATTCGTATTCGCGCACCCTGTGATCCGCAAGAGAGCGTACCCGTGGTTCTGGCGCGCGCATTCGCTCTACGTCGTGCTGTACGCACTATGTCTTGTACACGGTCTCGCGCGCCTTACTGGAGCACCACGCTTCTGGATATTCTTCCTTGGTCCCGCCATCATCTATACTTTGGACAAGGTATTAAGTTTATTGCTCAAAGCACAGCATTCGATAGAATAACTGATGTGCAGATAAAGTCATATGATGATGATTATGATTTAACTTTTGAAGTCTTGAGACCTAAAAGTATGACAAACATATATGTAATTTATTGCAGGTCGTTTCACTGCGGACAGAATATTTAGCGTTAGACGTCTTGGAAACTGAAATGTTACCGTCTGATGTCATCAAAATAAAATTCTACAGGCCGCCTAATCTTAAATATTTGTCAGGTAATTTTTCCTCCGTTCTTTTAGTTCTTCTGATTTAATTTCTGTTATTTATTAAAATGTTGAAAGGATTCAAATTAATTTTATTTCTGCTGCACATAAAATAACTATTATTTTTCTATAGGTCAGTGGGTACGGCTCTCTTGCACCGCATTTAAAAAAGAAGAGTACCACTCTTTCACCCTAACATCTGCGCCGCATGAGAACTTCTTGTCGTGTCATATCAAAGCTCAAGGACCATGGACGTGGAAACTGAGGAATTATTTCGACCCTTGTAACTACAACCCTGAAACGCAACCAAAAATAAGGTAAATATACTTGTATTCCAATGGTCTGGTGATCATGTCACTACTGGGCCTTGACTTGAGACAGTTTTACGCTGTTCTTCTTTTGACAGTTCGTGATATTTAAATCAATTAATGAAAACTTGATTTTAGAATCCAAGGACCATTCGGCGGCGGCAACCAGGATTGGTACAAATTCGAGGTGGCTGTGATGGTGGGCGGCGGTATCGGCGTCACTCCTTACGCATCCATCCTCAACGATCTGGTCTTCGGCACGTCTACTAACAGATACTCAGGAGTGGCTTGTAAAAAGGTATGGTGACTGTCAATTTTACTGCTTCGAAGTAAATTTAAAAAATCAAGATCCTTCCAATTTTCTTTGCGAGAGTTGGTCTCCCTCTTTATCTGCCAGAGCGATTACGTAAAAGTCAGCAATCACAAACTTTGAGATTCATCAAAACTTAACCAGACACTTTACCGAAGTCCTAAGATTAGTAATTCTGCAAAATTTTCTTAAGTTCTGTTTATTTTTTTTTTCACCTAACCTAACCCATGAATCCTCACGAACATTCACATTTCCCAGATTCCTATTCTTCTCCAGTTATCTTACTTTGTCTATGTGTAATATTATTCAATGTATCTTTAGGTCTACTTCCTGTGGATCTGTCCGTCGCACAAGCACTTCGAGTGGTTCATCGACGTGCTCCGTGACGTGGAACGTAAAGACGTTACCAACGTACTCGAGATACACATCTTTATCACGCAATTTTTCCACAAGTTTGATTTGAGGACAACCATGCTGGTATATTTAACATTATGCTATAATTATTTTTTTTAATAAACTGGAACTTTATTGATATACTTACGATACAAAAATAGAGTTTTGTCATGACTTTATTTAATGCAGAACAAAAACAGAACATATAAATACTTGAATATTTTATTTTTGCAGTACATCTGCGAGAATCACTTCCAGCGCCTCTCGCGGACGTCGATGTTCACAGGCCTAAAGGCGGTCAATCACTTCGGCAGGCCCGATATGTCCTCCTTCCTTAAGTTCGTACAAAAGAAACACAGTTATGTAAGTATTTTCCTAGTACAGCAAAAATTACCTCTATCATTTGAAATGTTAATCGACCAAATCAATCCCATTTTCACCACGTTAATCCCAAATGGTAGTCAATTTTGAAGAGCGAAGTAACATTCGAATTTTATTTTTTGCCAAAATAGCGGTAATATTTTGCTTGTGTTTTGTTCAAGGTGTCAAAAATCGGTGTATTTTCATGCGGTCCCCGGCCGCTTACGAAATCAATAATGTCGGCATGCGAGCAGGTTAATCGCACACGTCGTCTGCCATACTTCATACATCACTTCGAGAACTTCGGATAAAACATTCTTGATACTTGCTACGGCCACTGCCATTTAATGCATATAGGAAAGAAATACGAGATTTTGTAATTAAATACAGTCTAAAAAATAGAAATTTTAAAACTTTTGAGAGCTTCTTTAGAACTATATTATGTGTAATTTTTTTGTGAATAAATATTTTTGAAAAATAATATTCAGCATTATTTAATTAGAAGCGAAAAGTAAATTACAATTTTTGATTACAAATCTTGTATTCATGATAATTAAGCTAAATCAAACTGCCTTTAAATATCAAAAATCTTTTTATTTATTTTTTGTAACCGCTTTTAGTTGATATTAAGTTTTTTTTGTACAATAAATTAGATTATTTATTTATTGAAATTCTATGCTTTTGTTAGTGTAAAATATAATCTAGTACAAATTAAAAAAAATGCGTTATAATGTACAAAAACATTTTTTTTTATTTTCATACAAAATCATCAAAAACCAAGTAGAACTGTATTGAAATGTAAATAATGTAAATTTAAATATACTAGAAATCGGCTAATAGATAAATAAACGATTTTTTTACAATTATTTAATTTATAATGTAAATAGATATAATTTTAAATAAATTTATTTACTACAAAAAATATTTTATTATTTCATTTTTGACATTCATATTTCTTTGCTACTAAGTAAAATAGTTGAACACCTAACACTCTTTCGTGTACCATTTTACTAACTTCTTATTCCTTTTTAACCATTTAATGAAAAGACTCGTCGAGTTTACTATAAACAAAGTCATAAAAATAGACGTAATCACACTAATTAAGATAAATTTTAACAAACGCACAACATCGTAATTGATCCCTCCTCTACAATTACTTTTAAACCTTCGGATTCAAACTTGAATTATTTATGGTCGTTGATTTGAGACTACTTTAATTCAAGTAAGCGGCATAAGTTAGCCTTGCCTTAGCTTAACCACAGACTCGTAATTAAGTTTTACTAAATTTATCATACCTTGACTTTACTCGACTTGAATTTAATGAAAATTTTGCATATAACTTCGCATATTTTAATACTTAATCTAAAGTACATCCTTATATAATACCGATAACTAATCGGAAAATGAAATTTGTTTTTACTTATAAATGTTAAAATCTGGATGACCTGTTGAAGTTTGTAATCTGCTGACATGTGCACTGGCTGGTTTTAGTCTGGTTTTAGTTTATGAAAAAAAGTGTACATCTGTCATACGTCAAATATTTTTCATTGTCTTTCATAAATAAATTTTCCCAAGTAAACTTGTGTTATTCATCAGGTTATGGGCCCAGCCCAGTACAAAACCTAGTAAATATAAAACGTTTTTAATTTTATTGTTTAATTATGGCTCAGTCGGTGCGAATAGAGTTACTGGACAAAGATAATTATGAAACGTGGAAAATACAAGTAGAAGCATTGTTAACGAAAACGGAAGGTTGGCAATACGTTAGTGGAAGAAATGTAAGACCTTGTTCCACACCAGGAAATGAAAAATTGACAGATGAATGGTTAGCTGCAGACGAAATCATATTACCAAAAAAAAATACGTAGTATTGTGAAAGAAAAATATTCAACCTTAAGGCATCTGTCAACGGATTATATCCTGGAAACCGCGCGCATCGTGAGAAGGTTCCTGTCTCTGCAGCCCTGACCACTGGTTGTTTGAGTCATGGGATTCCGCAGCCGGTGGTGTTCTCTTTTTAATATAATATATTTTGTATATTTTTTTTTTTGGATATGAAATGTATTATATTAGAAATGTGATAAATAAATGTATATGAATTAATAATAATAATAATAATAATAATATCGGTAAATGGACTGATAGCGAAGAGCTTCGACCAACATCTGAAGAAGCTCTCGCTAAACAGTTGGATTAAGGGCCCGATACAAAAAGCAGTTATCCTAGAAACCGCGCGCATCGTGAGAAGGTTCCTGTCTCTGCAGCCCTGACCACTGGTTGTTTGAGAGAGAAGAGAAGAGAAGAGAAGAGAAGAGAAGAGAAGAGAAGAGAAGAGAAGAGAAGAGAAGAGAAGAGAAGAGAAGAGAAGAGAAGAGAAGAGAAGAGAAGAGAAGAGAGAGAAGAGAAGAGAAGAGAAGAGAAGAGAAGAGAAGAGAAGTAGTAGTAGTAGCAATCTAATCTAATCTAATCTAATCTAATCTAATCTAATCTAATCTAATCTAATCTAATCTAA